TATTATATGCGATATAGTTCAAACACGCAATTGTCCATTTTTTCTATATTTGAAACAAAAGAGAAGTTTAAAGTTTGCAAAATGTTGAAGATTAAACGTAAATTGGAGGTTATGTGTTGGTATATTTTATATATTACCTACGGGGTTTTATGCACTTTTTAAGCAAAAATCAACTTCCGTCTTTTTTGTCAGATTTTTACTTCATTCTTAAACAACAAATTTAAAGATTCTAAGAACGCAATTTTCAAACCGTGATTTGGCTCAGCCCTGACACTGATCCTAAAAACTTAATTTTTTAATTTTTACCCATTTCAAACACTCAATGGGCCATAAAAAATGAAAAATTTACATCAAAACAAAATCAAATTCAAATTCAAATGACTGTAGACCACGGGTTACCGTATAATACATTAGAATTTCTAAGCCGGGTCAACCTTTCCGGTCCCAGTTTGTACTGCACCTAGCTCTATGGACAGGACAAGCCGGTGCAACAAGGTTGACGCAGTCAGACTTTATGCTTCATAAAGGTTGAATTTAGTTTTACTAAAGTGTCACAGGTGTGTGAGACCAATGTCAACTTACTTTTGATCACAATTAAAAAATATGAATAGACCCATTTTAATGCTGTAGAGATTTTGATTTGAAATATCAAAAAATGTATTTTATTTTAAAGCAAGTTTAACAATTTTTACGTGAAATTAGAATCTTAAATGTTTCCAATAAAGCTTCTCTTCTTAAAGAATCACGCTGAGTAATAGGACAGTTTTAAATTCCTTTTTAATGCCAAGATGTAAATTTTAAAAAAAGGAAGCTACGAGGTCATACAGACGTACCAGTAACATAAAATAAATTTGATCTTTTCCTTCTATAAAAGTGAACCCAACCTATTATTTCATGTTTTGTGGGGACCTCTGTAAGGATCGTGCCAAGGGAAGTAAGCTAACTAGCTTTGATCGATATATGTGTCATTCTGCACAAATATAATGGGAACCAGGATACAGAGAAATAGATGCATAGATAGACAAACAGAAAGATAGATAAACAGATTATTAACAGGTAAGCAGATAGAAAATAAACATATAGATATAAACAGATAGACAGATAAACAGAATTATGCTAAAATAGATAGATAGATAAACAGATTAATAGATAAACAGGTAGGAAAGTAAAGACATAGATAGATAAAGAGATATATTGATAAACAAATAGATAGATAAACAGATAATTAATCCATAGATAAAAAAAGCGCTTCGTTCATTTATATGTTAGCTAAAGCTGGCCAAACGGACCAAATTAGTTGAAATTTATTAGGGAATCTATCACGCGAATTTTCTTAGGAAGGGTCTGGTTCCTTTGGTGTACCGTCCGGTTTTTCCTGGTATAATCTGTATGTGTACTGCACAGCTTACTCTGGCTGGTTAGATGTCGGACCGGTTCATCAGCTCACTCTGGCTGGAATAGATGTCGGACCGGTTCAACAGCTCACTCTGGCTGGTACAGATGTCGGCCCGGTTCTTGAAATGAACCGAACTTAACTGTGCCATGATACCCAATTGCTAAAAAATTCTACTTTTTTGTTTCTTTTAAGAATCGGTTTTTCTACACTGATAACCAAAAAACTGTAGAATAGGAAGACGACGTTAGTGCAATAATTAATTTAACTTGATGTGGTTACAAAGTAGATAGTTTACTAGTTTACTAGTAACTTAACAAATTACTCATTAACTGAATTGATAATTTTTACATAACACGAAGTGATGTCTCCTGTTCATTACACTATTTAAAATCATTAATTGCGTCTGCTTCCTATTCCAGAGTTTTCTGGTTATCACTGTGAACAATTTTTTTATTTCGTTTATTCATGTTTCCAAAGTCCTGTGAAGATATTTACCCCAACGCTGTAAAAATAAAAAGTCCCATAGTTATTATTTACATTTAGAATTAGCTGATGGTGGATTGCGTAGCTTAATAACAATTGATATAGAACACTAGAGATCGTCTTTTCAAGATTTAGGGGTTTTTCGTTCACAATAACCCTGAGGCAGTTTCGCGAATGCTCTCCCTCTCTGTGTCTTTTCATTCAACGCAGCATGCTCGTAACTCCTTTGGGTTTCTGCCTCAGGTGTGAAAGCAAGCAAATAAAGCCATTTTTAGACAAATTGTAAATTTGTTATAGTTTTAGAAAATGTCAATTTGAACTCTATTTAGATAATGATAATCAATAACTCAACTTTAGTCCCGCAAATGCCACATCATGATGTTGTGTTTGAAAATAATACAGTGATAACCATCATGATGTTGTGTTTGAAAATAATACAGTGATAACCAAAAAACTGTAGAATAGAAAGACGACAATAAAGCAATGCTGAAGTCCATTTGATATTGTTGCAAAGCAAATAGCTTCACTATTCAAGACCGTTTACAGGGGGGGCATGGGGGGCAGTGCCCCCCCCTTGTGTGCCTTTTAAGTATCTTATACTTATGCCTGATATCCAAGAAGCCAAGTGTTATGAATTTACAGTTCGAATTTTGCCCCCCAGGAGCTCCTAGGGGGGGGCAAAAAAAAATTTTGCGCTTCGCGCAAATCTTGCCCCCCCCTAGATTTATTTCTGTATACGCCCAATTGTCACTATTCAGTAATTAAATCACTTATTATTGAAATGGATTTGTTTAAACTGCACAATTGCTGTGTCTCATGTTCATTGGCCTATTTAAAGTCATAACTTGAGTCTAAAAGTCGACTTTATATTCCAGAGTTTTCTGGTTATTACTGTGTTATCAAGTTGTGTTTTGACAAAATTAACCCTATCCACGCAATCCCAATTATGTGTTCATCAATTCCAAAGTCTATGACGTCCAAAGTACATTTCATGAAGGGACCCCCTGAAATGAAAAATCATACATTTGATTAAAATAGGAGCATACCTGAAATGTTTAGGCACCTCCAAATAATCGTAATTTTCAGATTTGTTCCTTTTTTGCTGATTATGAGATCTATTTAAATTTTTTAAGAACGACGAAGAAAAAACGAAAAACGAACATTTTTAAAAACGATCGAAAAATATTTTCGTTAACGGTTGTTTGTATTAATACCGGCGTTAACGATTTGTCAAGACTAAAAAAATGTTATCAAAATTCATAGATTTAGGGTAAACACAAGACGACATTTAAAAACGTCAAAATTCAATAAAAAAAAAATTTACCACTTTTATGCAATTCTAAGCAGATTTCTATGTTTTTTAAATATACATCCGCTTTTTTCGGTTATAATTTTTTTTCAAAATCGGCTAATTACTTTGTTAATAATTTAAATATTAATGGTTTTTGCCGTTTGTTAACGATCTCTTCCGTTAATTTACGAAAACCTCCGTTTAGAGAACAGAACTTTGGCCAAGCCCAACGGCTAAAAGTAAGGTTGTTTAACGAGGTTGCTAACTCTTGACGCGCACCCGTTGTCGAAAAATGTCGTCTTCTTTAAGCATTGAACACTGAACAGTGAAATCCGAGAATGGTTCACAGATTATAAAGGAAATTACTAGAGGAATTATATCTTTGCCACAAGCTCAAATTTCAAATGCCCAATATCTATTCAACCTGATGGTGTGTGTAAACCTTTAATACTTCAAATTTAAACTATTTTAAGAAAAAATATACCGGCAAAGCAAGAATTTTAAAAATTGTATTTTTTTTTAAATATTTGCATAGTTGAATAATAATAATAATTTAATAGTAATAATATAATAGTCGATCAAATATCGTCCCGTCCAATGTTCTGTATAACAAATAATTAAGCAGGCCTCCCGCAAATCATGTTTTTGTGGTAAGATTGCAAATTATTGCCCGGATTGATTGTTAATTAAACTGTTAATATGCATAGAAAATAGTTATTGGTTTGTTTTGGAAAAGAGAAGTATTGAATTGCAAGCTCTGATCCCAATTCTCAACAGTTTACCCGCGCCTCTCGGAGAACGATATGTTTTTCCTTCTGGCTAGTTACAAACAATATTAATCACCGAATGTATAGATAGTTTTCTACGATATGACAGAGTAAATCAATCATCTAGAAATCTCCGCGTTTCATAACAATCCGTAAAATTTGAGAAAATTCTACCATTCAAAACTTAAAACAAAAATTTTCAAAATTTACAGAATAAAGCGCAAATCAAATCACAAATCACATAATTTTTTCGTACAAATAAACAATTTTAAGATGTGTTTCCACATTTTACTTTTAAATGTTAAAGATACAAATACAAAAATACATTTTAAAACGATCGTTTAGTTTATATATTTTTGATCGTTAGTGAAGCGATCATTGTCTTCTTAAAAACAGCCCATCCCTAATTAAGAAGAAACCTTATATCTTATTATCTTGTAAACCCCCCCCCCCCCGTTCTGTAATTGGACTTATTAAAAATAGATTAAATCTCTCTGATGTACATCTGTTGCATTTTGGAGCAAATTGTCCGGAATTACTTCGCAGGCTTCCTCAGAAGGAGGTTCGCAGTGATCTGAAAAGTTGTAAAGAGGCCAGAGGCGTATTCAGGGTGTGGGGGGGGGGCTAAATTCCAATTTCTAATGAAACCATTTGATTCGACATACGTTTTATTAATAAAAGACCAAAAGATCCAAATCGGATCTGAACTTATGTAAAATTGGTTTAAAGTCAGGGTACACCTGTACCTGTTCAGTAAAAAAAAACTGAAGATACAGGGTGTCCCACAAAACATGGAAGTTGGTGAATAGTTTTGAATGTCTTTTTCCACATAGTGTATTAGATCATGAAGACTTTTAGCAATTTATTTTTTTAAAACGTATTTAACTCATATATATTTTACTGTAAAATTGATTTTACTATAGTATCTGTCATATCAAACAACTTATCAAATTATGGAAGAATACATTTTAAACTATTCACCAACTATCATGTTCGTGGGACACCCTGTAGAATATTTATTCTACCAGTTACACCACGGTACCACCAATTTCCTTTCAGATGAGACCAAAATGCATGAGGGTTTATAAAACTGGTTTTAGTATCGGGGTTTCTATATCTATATATATATATCTATATATCATTTCAGGAACTAAAATTAATCATTTTATTAGCAAACAAAGAATATTAACTAATGCTACAGTGAAACCCTGAAAAACGAATACAACGAAAGAATTCATCAAATGTCGTATTCTTCACTTTCTGATAATGGAATATTGCATTTATTTAGTTTTTTAATTAAATGATTATATTGAGCTCTTTAAAACTTTTCCCGCATATTCATGGCTATTTATTTATTTTCGCAAATACTGAAATTTACGAAATATAGTATAAAACTCATTGAAAAATTGTTAAGACGACATTTGATAAATTCTTCCGATGTATTCTTTATTTAGGGTTTCACTGTATGAGAATAATTATGAATTCTTTTTTAATTTCGTATCATTTCTCTACTTTTTCTAACTTATCCCGGCTGAATCTTTATAAACTTTTCAAACATCACTTTATTGTCCCGTCTGACCCTTTTTGACCCCGCCTGGACTCAAGCTATAATTGAAAAGATTTTTTTTCTTGATATTTTAAACCAAGGATTGATATTTGAGAACTTCCATGCGTGTAACTTATGGTTTTTGCGAACGGAAAAGAGACGAAATTTCGCGAAAACTTTCTTTTGTATTTAACAAACTTTTTCGCGAAAGAAATTGAGTCTTTGCCGCAAACTCAAATTTTCTAATTTCTAAACCTTTGCGATCTGATGGTGTAGAACTTTAATATTTCAAACTTAGATGATTTGATCGAATAGAAATCATAGTTTAAAATATCCTAGACCTGTGACATTGGATAAAGGAGTTAGAAAATCAATTCCTTTCGCATTTTTCTCAAAAATGTTTTTTTGCGAACGGAAGCAAACAGGAGGCGGAAATTTTGTGAAAAAATTAAGAAAGTTTCGAGAAAAATTGCTTAAACCCTTATAGCCAGGTAAAAAAAAGTCCAATTTGTCTGTGCAATAAATATTAAAGTTTGAATTGATTGATTGAAATAAATTAGATGAAAACCCAATAAATCTAATCTCCGAAAAAGAGCCTGAGTTTAGTGCCCCACAGCAGCTCAGAATATGGGTAAGCTTTCCGACTGTTGCAGGGATAACAAAAAAACTCTTAAAAGGAAGACGACTTTTAGAATAAAGTTATAACTTTAACAACTCCATTGTGCATGAGACACAGCAATTGCAGGTCAATTACACGAGCTATTCCATTGTTTTCTGGTTATCCCTGATGAACGAAGGGGTACTGTAAGTGTAGTTTTAAGTGACTCTGAGTCCGAATTTAATGAATTTGAGCCGCGTCTCAAACCGGTTTCAATTGAGCGCTGACTTAAATCTTGAAACATTGAATACGATTTTAAGTGGAACCACCCATATTTGAGCCACGGTTTAAATTTAAGCCGCAGCTCAAATTCTTTAAATTCGAGTGCATAGTCGACGTTCAAAATCATTAATTTTGGTGGGTACGTTTTCAGAATCGGTTTTTTTTATTATTAAATAATTAGATGGCTAGGAACATATTTCTCAAAAGAAATTTGTCAATAAATCAATGGTAGAATCAATTATATCGTTTTCATCATTATATTTAATTTCTTATTTTCTATGAATTTAATGGTAGATTTCTTCAAATTCTTCAAATGTCGTCTTTTCAATAATACTTCCAGAAAATCTGCAGAAATAATGTGAATAATGAGAGACTTGAATAGTGAGAAAATAGGAACTAATTATTGAACAATATTACTTATTTTCGATGATAAGATTAATTTTTATTTTCTCAACCTGTTCCTAAACAACTGATAAGTTTACTGTAGAATTTTGTTTACATTTTTTGTCGTTATTTAATAATTTGAAAAAAAAAATTCTGAAAACGTGTCCACCCAAAAGTACGATTTTGAACGTCGACTTTGCGCTCAAACTCAGGATTTACAGATCTTAAAAAAGTTTTCTTTGTATCAAATGAATCCTAAAGAATGTGTCCACAACACTGCATACTCAGTTCAACTTATACTATACATAGCCGGTCACTTCTTTTAAACATGTTAAATTCTGAAAATTCCTTTTATTCTCCTGCAGTAGAAACGCGCGATTTCGTTTTGTAGAATACCACAATTGAAAATAATACCGACTGTTAACGTTAAAACCCAAGACTTTGCTAATTACCAAAGTCTTGGGTTAAAATGCAATATCTAGTTTATATATACTTGATCGGGAAAGGTTTTTAGGATACCATTGTCCATGGGTATTGTCATCTTTGCAGGGGCAATTATCATTATGCTTACACTTCCTTTGAGTTATGTACAAAATTTTTTCAATTCAAGTGGCGTAGTTGGAGATTTATTAAACTAAAGCTGTTGTGTTTAAGATGAAATTAACAACTGTTTAAAATATTGAAAATAATTTTTTGGCAATTAGTACTTTGTACTTAATTGAACAATTATGATAAGTTATGAAATAGAAAATATCTCCGAATTGTTTTAAATAAAAAGAAAAGTTATAGATCCCTAGGGCGTATACAGAGGGGGGGGGGGTAAGGGGACAGTGCCTCCCTCTAGAGCATTAAAGGGGCTAAGAACTCAGAGCTATCAAACTTTTTAAATCTCAAACTGAAGAGATTATTTTTTATTTCTATAAAGCATGGTACACAAAAACACAGAAATGGAGAGAAGCTGTCAAATAAAAAAGCTTAACTTTAATTGCTTATAAACTTATAAGTCGTTAAAAGCTTGCTAACAATTAAAAAGTTGTCTTCATTATATTGCTATAACCGCCTACCATTGTATGTTATTTATAACTGGCAAAGCGGCTGGACCAAATTAGCTGAAAAATTATATAAGGAAACTCATGTGTGAACCGGGGATGGTAGAGAAAAAAAAATTGTAATTTTTTTTCAAAAATTCGTTTTTCCAAAATGTTATAAAATTTCATCTAGTGTTATATACAGTGAAACCGTTAATAACGAATACATCGGAAGAATTTATCAAATTTCGTCTTGACAATTGTTCAATGAGTTTTATACTATATTTCAATTTGTTGTCGGATTGCAGCAAGATTCTCAATAATGAACAGTTAGACAACGGGATAACCCTCAAATCGAAAATCGATAATGCAGAGAAACTCTTTATTTCCTAAAAAAATGAAATGGATAATAATGCATGAATTTGTTACAACGTTATATAATTTTACAATGAAAAGATTCTTACGATCTATTTAGTGATAAGAAGGTTAAACTGTCGGAGAGTCCTAAAANAATAGAAGGAAATTAAATGTTTATATGGTTGATTCCTGCGTTGATTTGCAAATGTTTGGCTTAATTCACAAATAAAAGTAACCGTTTGTTGTGATGTCCTTGTTGTCTGATGAGAGCGGTCGAATGTGTTTGATCTTGGTTGGAGTTCTAGTTTGAGCTTAGAATGCAATTCAGTTGCTCAGTTTCGGTGTGATCTGCATGGAACTCATCCTGAGCAGGCTCTGGTCTGGAACTCGGAGCTGGAGCTATATTCCTCGCTTCTGTGGAGTCCGAGGTGTGGCTGGGGATCAGGCTCGATGGGTTGGGCCGGCTTGGCGAGAGGGTCAGGTTCAAGCGGATGAGTTGGATTGGTCGTAGGGTTAGGATTGGTTGGAGGATCAGGTTCAAGTGGGTTGGTTGGAACCCCTGGATTGGACCAAGGGGTCTGGTTCAATAGGAGGGTTAGGATAGGTTGGGGAAACCAGTGAATTTGAGGAACCTGGTTTAGTAGGGGTTTGACTGATCATGCATCCTGGTAGTTTGCAGGGAGTGTTTCTTGTACATCTTTGAACTTCCTGATGAGGGGTTTCAGGAGGTTGGCCATTAGAGGTATCCTCGTGGAGAGGAGTAGCTGAATTCATCTCAAAGGTGAGAGTATCCTCGTGTAGAGGAGTAGTTGGGTTCATCTCAAAAGTGAGAGTGTCCTCGTGTAGAGGAGTAGTTGGGTTTATCTCAAAAGTGAGAGTATCCTCATGTAGAGGAGTAGTTGGGTTCATCTCGAAAATGTGAGTATCCTCATGTAGATGAGTAGTTGGTTTAGGAGGTTTGAAACTAGCACGAGGTTGGAGGCTGTGCAGAGAGGGGGTGGGGGGTCAGTTGTGATGGTGGCGTGGGAGTTGATGATGTTATTCTCGGTTTGATAACAGGCCTCGAGGTCGAAGGGATCGTATATGAAGAACTCCAGATTGGTGAAGGTTCCCATTTCCTCGGTTAGGTTGCAAACATGGTTGGTGGGTGTAGGGCATATTATACAATCTTGCATTCTACAAGGATTATTTCTTGTACATCTTTGAGCTTCCTGATGAGGGGTTTCAAGAGGAAGGTCATGTGGATCCTCGTGGAGAGGAGTAGTTGGGTTCATCTCGAGGCTTTCTTGAAACTTCGACAAGTCTGTAGATCGAAATGTTGTCGGATCGCAGCAAGATTCTCAATAATGAACAGTTAGACAATGGGATAACCCTCAAATCGAAAATCGATAATGCAGAGAAACTCTTTATTTCCTAAAAAAATGAAATGGATAATAATGCATGAATTTGTTACAACGTTTTATAATTTTACAATGAAAAGATTCTTACGATCTATTTAGTGATAAGAAGGTTAAACTGTCGGGGATTCCTAAGACATTTTTATATATTAAAATTTCTGAAAAGAATGACAATTAATTGTTAGCGAAATTCACTAATTCTTTATATGAAAATATTTTGTTCACAATAATAAAAGTGTTTAGACTCCGTTACCAGAGAACAAAGAGAATTATTTGGTTTAGTGTCTCCGAGAGGGGATTTTAAGTTAAAGACGACATTACATGGATGGGCGGGGGGGGGAGTCTTGTAGTTAATGGTTGACAATATTACGTAAATTTCAGTATTTGCAAAAATAAATAAATAGCCTTGAATATGCGGGAACAGTTTTAAAGAGGCTCATATAATCATTTTATTAAAAAACTAAATATCTGCAACATTCCATTATCAGAAAATGAAGAATACGACATTTGATGAATTCTTTCGATGTATTTGTTATTAAGGGTTTCACTGTATAATATAATATACGGTTTGTAAACAGATTGATGTTCCAAATGATTTCCCGTGGAGGAAGTGTTTGTTGGACTACAATGGTGTAGCAGCAACATCAGAATGTATCCTAAAAAGGGAAAATAGAAATGAATCGGAAAACTATTTTTTTTTTCAGTTCAAGAGACGGAAAGTGTAATTTGAAGTGACCCCTCAGCAATGTCCGATTTACAACCTTTAACCGATTAAAAATGTGGAAAAATCTGACTCGAAAAGTATTTTTCTTACAAATAAACAAGGAATTTTTGCAGAGAAACAACAAATAGATAATCAAAACCATGCATATCTTATCATAATTGATCAGAGCTGAAAACTTTAGAATGAGATATCCTTAATCCCGATTACTTAATCTGAGTGTCAAATGGACACACTCGATTTTCTTCTTAAATCGTTCTTTCTTGGATATAGTAGAGAAAAATCAAAAACCGTTTTTTTAAATTAGTGAGTCCCACCCGTTTCTGTATATAATCTTAAATGCCGCGCAAAATTTCAAATTTATCGGCTTCATATATGCGGCTCTGATTGGTTGAATTTTTACACTTTTCAGGATACAAGTGCAAGATTAGATTAGTCTCGATATTAAAAAAAAGAGAGGATCAAGCATTAATCTTGAGATCCACCATTCTGAAGTTTTCAGCTCAGACAGGACTTTTAACTTTTTAAAGTATAAATTGTTCAAAATTTAAATGGGGCAGTGCCAACTTTGCGTGGAGGATCACTTGAAAATACATTTACAGATTTATTTCTGCTTAACATTTTTCAGCAATTTTTTTCTATTCTCTGTTATAGCCACCCGGCCGCAACTTGGTATATCCCATTGCGGAGTTCAAAATTCAAAATAATCAACAAAGAAAATGACAGGTAGGTGGATGACAGCTAGATGGATGAACCTCAATTATTTGCAAAATTTTTAATCAAAAAATTAAATATTTCAAGGGTTACTGATTTAAAACATATCTTCAATTTTCTAAATCTATTCATAGATTAATAACATTACAGATATAACCCTAGATGTCGTCTTTTCAAGATTATGAGGTTTTTCGTTCACAATAACCCTGAGGCAGAAGCCCAAAGAAGTTACGCGCATGCCGTCTTGAATTACAAGATAGAGATAGAGGCTGTTTTTCGACAACATAAAGTGTTTTATCTGTATTGTTATTAATCTATGAATCTATCAATGAAAACCAAAATTAACGTGCTGGCTCTCTTATTGTGAACAAAAATCCTTAAATCTTAAAAAGACATCATCTAGTGTGCTATCTGTTATTGTTAATTAATCTATGGGCTCAGACCTAAATCCAATAATGGTAATAATAATAATAATTATAATAATAATAATAATAATAATAATAATAATAATACTAATACTAATAATAATAATAATAATAATGGTAATATCAACCAATCTGTAAGCAGAACTGCAGGATGCAAAATTTGTCTTGTCATAAGTTCATAGCTGGGGAGTTAACACAAACTTTAAACCCGTTGTTAAAAACTGGAATTAAAAAGTCGAGGTAGATACGAGTTTTAAGGCACGACTATTGCTGAGTTTTACAACATTAAAAATCCACTTCTGGGTGAAAAATAGAGTGTAACGCCTGTTTAACTCCATTCTATGTTTTAGGTGAAATCTGTGAACCATCTTTTTATTTTTTTTAACAATTTTTCAGATGTCTTCAACCCGACCAAACTGTTGATATGTCGGAGAAGATTGTAGTTATTACTGGGCCTTGTCATAATAAAACTGGTAAAAAAATATGTTTAACACAGCAATGAAAAAAAATTTAGCCTTTGCCACAAACTCAAATTTATATCTTTGAAATCCTATAGTTACGTATATCTTATCATTGGGTCGATGGTATATTGTGTGAATCAGTGAGGGTTCACAGAAATAAATACAGATTACAGTTAATGCTCCAGGGTTAATGGGGAATTAGAATAAACAGATTACAGTTAATGCTCCAGGGTTATAAATAGGGATTAGAATAGACAGATTACAGTTAATGCTCCAGGGTTAATAGGGATTAGAATAGACAGATTACAGTTAATGCTCCAGGGTTAATAGGGATTAGAATAGATAGATTACAGTTAATGCTCCAGGGTTAATAGGGATTAGAATTAGGGATTAGAATAGATAGATTACAGTTAATGCTCCAGGGTTAATAGGGATTAGAATAGATAGATTACAGTTAATGCTCCAGGGTTAATAGGGATTAATGCTCCAGGGTTAATAGGGATTAGAATAGATAGATTACAGTTAATGCTCCAGGGTTGATAGGGATTAGAATAGATAGATTACAGTTAATGCTCCAGGGTTGATAGGGATTAGAATAGACAGATTACAGTTAATGCTCCAGGGTCAGGGTTGATAGGGATTAGAATAGATAGATTACAGTTAATGCTCGTTAATGCTCCAGGGTTAATAGGGATTAGAATAGATAGATTACAGTTAATGCTCCAGGGTTAATAGGGATTAGAATAGATAGATTACAGTTACTGCTCCAGGGTTAATTGGGATTAGAATAGATAGATTACAGTTAATGCTCCAGGGTTAATTAGAATTTTAAGAGTCTAAGGCAAACACTCAATTGTGATTTTTAAATATTTATTATTTACAAAAGAGAACAGGGTGTCCTACGAAACATGACAGTTGAGAGACGACTATAAGGTCGTCTTTTATTTGAAATAATTTGCGGCATTGGTATGTAAATCTACTTTTACATGTATAATTCTTAAAACACTAAATTTCCTTGGTCTTGGCATTTCAAAATGTGGTCTAACCGTTTTTGTGCTGTCAATATTCCCAAAGATATTTAGAATTTCATTCAGATTTCAATATTTTGAATAAACGAAAAATGTCGAAAGCTGAACAAAAGTCTTTATATCTCCCGTAATAATGAAAACAAAAAAAGGCAAAAACATTTTAGAAAGGTCAAACCAAGGGATATTGTGAGATTATTAACTCTTGAATCTTAATTCAGAAATTAGGGTTACGATCAACAGGTGCAAACTATTTCCAAGATCAAAGACGACCTTTGAAGTCGCATTGCCACTGACATGTTTGTGGTTCAACTAGGTAGTAAGGAATAGAAGGGAGATATGATTATACGTGCTTTGCAGACGGGTACTCCATTTGTATATGAAATATTCAGAACAGAATAGGTTATTGTATACGCGGTAATTGTACATCAGACAAATAATTCTTATTCAAATGAGGTACCGTCTGCAAAGCATGTATAATCAGATGGTAGGGCGAACCGCGTCAGTTATATCTCCCTTCTATTCCTTACTCCCTAGGTAAACCAAGATAAACTCTCGGCCACCCAAAAGAAAAAATGACATTATTTTCACCTTGTTAAACTAAATTTAAATTCATACAAATTTTATTAACATTATAATTGTAAATTATTACTGTATATAGTTTTACCATGCAAAAGCTTGGCAATCAATTATCAAATAAAATGGACTGTTAAAATCTTATCTTGTGTATAAAAGTCTATTCAAGTCTAAACAGGTTCTGTTTACTATTTTGTAGTCTAGATGAAAAATAAATGAAGTCTGAAAAGTGCAAAGGGTTGTCTGTTTCTAATTTTATGTTTCAAAAAGTATAATTAAAATTTTTATTATTCAAATCTTTTTATTGATCAAAAGTACAAAGACAACAAGTAAACTTTATATATATATATCAAAGATAGGTACATTTTGATTTTAATATTTTACATGGAGCATCTGTTTATTTATGTGGAAATCTTAGAGATTTGGTAAATGACACATTTTTCATTTTTATTTTGAAGTTAAGTAAATTCAGTAATGACAGTAAAATGAGCTGACAACATTTAATGAGGGCTCGTAGGGATATGTTTTCACTTTTCAGTTCAAATAAAGGCCAATTGCAACAAAGGCAGAATCTAAGACGGTGATCCGAAAAAATAAAAACAACAACACGAGATGCGAATAACGTAATTTGATCCCGGCAGATTTATTTGATTTTTTTTATATTTTTGAAGATGACCAATGGGAGCACACACCAACAGGGCAACTAAAGTGGAGTACAGGTAATGGCAAACAACATTCTTCAGGAGCTTTTGAAATAAATTGTTATCGAAAAAAGTGCCAGATAGTTTTGGATAAAACCGTATGAATGTTATTCTATTCCATGTATTTAACATGTACGTACTAAAATCGAGTGCATATGAGAAATGGCGCTGGTAGGGTTTCCAGTCGTAATTACTCGTAATTACGCGTAACACTTTCTTTCACTTACGCAGGAGCATTACACGTAATTACGCGTGTATTACGTATACGAAAGAATTAATGCGTAATTACCCGAAATTACGTAATACGAAACAACAACGTAATAAATAAAGTACATATTAATTCTCAGAAATAATTATTGCGGGAAAGTATGTATAATGATATGCCCGCTGCAAGCATATCAAACATATTTTGACGATTTTGTTGACATTTTTTTCAAACAAGGAAGGTAAACTTGAGAGAATAGGTTGAAATATTAACAAGTCGTCGAAAATTGAAAATTTATAGATAATGTATTTTTTTGATAAAAATAAATTGTTGGTTGGCCCTTTGTTAAACTTTTTAGTTGTCGAGCGTGAAAATTACATCAACATAGTATTGGCTGAAATTTCTGATTCAACTTGCGTGACATTAATTTCCTTGTAAGTTAGTTCTTTTATTTAAATTAAAAGTTAAAACTTCAAAATTTCATAGATGTAATTATTGCAAAATTTCTCAAAATTACTTTGTAGAAATTACAGCGTAATTTCTCGAAATTACCTTGTAGAAATAACGCGAAATTACGTCTTAATTATGCGTAATTATAGTTTCGCTTACTAATTCATTACGAAATTTCGCGAAATTACGATGTATAAATTAAGTGAAATTACGCCGTAATCATGCGCAATTATAGTTTCTCTTATTACGCATAGTCATTACAAAATTTCGCGAAATTACGTTGTAGAAATTACGCGAAATTACACCTTAATTTCGCGAAATGGATATTTCCACAGTTACATGTAATCCTGTGAAATTACACGAAATGAAAATCATTACGCGTAACTGCACGTAATTACGCGTAAGAGAATGATCTATTACGTTGGAAACCCCGCACTGGTCTGGCATCAGAAAGCCAGTCGCACTGCTTTGCAGACGAGTTCGTTATCACACACACACACTCTTGTGGTACTGACACAAAACATGACAACAGTCAAGGAAATTGCAGAACAATGCCATCCATTATAATTAAGCTTGCATGACCAGGGGCGGATACAGGGGCGGGGGGGCATTCAACCCCCCCCGACAGATTCAGGGAGGGGCGTAGCCCCCCCCCCCTGAATTTGGAATTTTTTGTTCCTATTTTCAGAATAACTTCTCAATAGCATGCTTAAGGGAAAGAAACCCTATTGCAAAACAGGAAAAATATCTGTCTTAATAAACTATAATGTGTGAAAAATTAAAAATCTAGTTTTTTAGTCTTTAGTCATTAATTTTGACTCTTTTTGAGTCTTTTAAGTCAAAAAATTTTCGCCTGCCGCGCGATTTTTTGTTCCTAATTATGAATTTTTTAATACTTAAAAATCTTGCCCCCCCCCCCTCACTTAAATCCTGAATCCGCCCCTGTGCATAACTAGTAGTTTATTGTAAACTTTAATAAAATTATATTCTTTGCATGAAAATGTGGCTTATAGTGTTGACTTAAATATATAAATAAAATATTATATGTTTATTAAACTTATTTTTAAGTAAACAATTAACAATAAACAACTGTACTCTCCTAGGCTGTACTGCAAATACCGAGATTCGTATGTACTATGTACTTATAAACCTACAGTACACGCCTTCGGTTTGGTATCACTTACACACACTCTTTTGATACAGACACACATGCATGACGTTTCCATCCCCTGAATGAGCCCCGTCTTAAAGGGACTGAAAACTTAATTACAACTGACTCTCCATGCAAAGATGGCAATGTCTGATTCATATGACAGATACTTTTAAAGCTTTATTAGAATCAAACACTTTTAGAGACATTTAAACAACAACATCCTCCACATTATTGGTCTGATAAAGGTTTCAAGGTTTAGACCTATATAAAAGAACATTATTGGTCTGATAAAGGTTTCTAGGTTTAGACCTATATAAACAACAGCATCCTCCACATTATTGGTCTGATTATGGTCTGATAAAGGTTTCAAGGTTTAGACCTATATAAAAGAACATTATTGGTCTGATAAAGGTTTCAAGGTTTAGACCTATGTAAAAGAACATTATGGGTCTGATAAAGGTTTCAAGGTTTAGACCTATGTAAAAGAACATTATTGGTCTGATAAAGGTTTCAAGGTTTAGACCTGTATAAACAACAGCATCCTCCACATTATTGGTCTGATAAAGGTTTCAAGGTTTAGACCTGTATAAAAGAACATTATTGGTCTGATAAAGGTTTCAAGGTTTAGACCTATATAAAAGAACAGTATTGGTCTGATAAAGGTTTCTTAGGTTTAGACATATATAAAAGAACGTTATTGGTCTGATAAAGGTTTCAAGGTTTAGACCTATATAAAAGAACATTATTGGTCTGATAAAGGTTTCTTAGGTTTAGACCTATATAAAAGAATATTATTGGTCTGATAAAGGTTTCAAGGTTTAGACCTATGTAAAAGACAGCATCCTCCACATTATTGGTCTGTTAAAGGTTTCAAGGTTTAGACCTATATAAAAGACAGCATCATCTACATTATTGGTCTGATGAGGGGGGGAGTCCAGAACTCCTCAACGAGTAATCACCGCCACCCAAATGTGTTTTGCGGCAAGCGCCTCCTCAATTGGCAATCTCCACCACCTCAATTGGTAATCAGCCAAAAAAAGCGTAACATTGAATCGGTTATTTCTTACAAATAAGACCATTTTGACCTCTGTTAATGGCTCTATGGTGTACAATATTGCTAAAGCTTTCTTTATTGCTCCTTAGTTTCGAAAAATAAATCTATAAATATGCCACATATATTACTTTTTTTTTAGTTTCAAGTGTGGCTTTACGAATGATTTCGGCATTTTCCTCTGAATGTTATTGTTTTAAACTAGCTTATATAGAGAGGGAGGGAGTCCAGAGTTCCTCAAATAGTAATCACCGGCACCCAAATCTGTTTTGCGGCAAGCGCGCTCCTCAATTGGTAATCTCCACCACCTCAAATAGTAATCAGCCCAAAAAAGCATAAAATTAAATCGTTTATTTCTTAGAAATAAGACCATATTGACCTCTTTTAATGGCCCTATGGTGTACAATATTGTTAAAGCTTTCTTTATTGCTCCTTAGTTTCGAAAATAAATCAATAAATAAACCACACTAAGTGCTAGAAATATATTACGTTTTTTAGTTTCAAGTTTCGCTTTAAGAATGTTTGCGGCATTTTCCTCTGAATATTGTTTTAAACTCCTTATATAGAGAGGAAACTTTAACCCATTATTAGTGGACTAAATACTTCATTTTCAGTAGTGGGTGTGATGAGACTAATTTTTCAAAACTTTATGTTCTTTCTATGCATATAATTAGTTTTGTTGTAGATGTTGAACTCAAGTAGGCGATACAAAAATCTAAACACTGTAAAGGTTTTTTGAAAATATCTTTTAAATGGAGATGGATATTACTTTGGGTGGGATGAGATAATTTTTAGTAAACAGACAGCCCGACCTTTTTTGTATCTTGACGCCAATTATGAAATGCAGTCATTAAAGTGGCGAATTGGATTTAAGATTCGGCTAAAATGAACTGGGCCTTGATTCTCAGTTTTTGTTGACCAAACAAATCTGAAAATAATTGAAAATTTAGTTTAAGTCAATACAGATTCCATAAAACCCCGATATATGTCGAAAATTGTGTTAAAGTGCATTAAATTCAAATCACAGGAAACAAAATATTACGGTGATTACTAATTGGGGTGGTGGAGATTACCAATTGAGGAGCGCGCTTGCCGCAAAACAGATTTGGGTGGTGGATTACTATTTGAGGAACTCTGGACTCCCTCCCTCATATAGAGAGGAAACTTTAACCCATTATTAGTGGACTAAATACTTCATTTTCAGTAGGGGGTGGGATGAGACTAATTTTTCAGAATTTTATGTTCTTTCTATGCATATAATTAGTTTTGTTGTAGCTGTTGAACTTGAGTAGGCGAATACAAAAATCTAAACACTGTAAAGGTTTTTTAAAAATATCTTTTAAATGGAGATGGATATTACTTTGCGTGGGATGAGATAATTTTTAGTAAACGGGCAGCCCGACCTTTTAGTATCTTGACGCCAATCATGAAATGCATCATTAAATGAGCGAATTGGATCTAAGATTCGACTAATATGAACTGTGCCTTCAAGATTCTCAGTTCTTGTTGACCAAACAAATCAGAAAACAATTTGAAAATTTAGTTTAAGTCAATACAGATGCCATGAAACCCCGATAGATGTCGAAAATTGTGTTAAAAGTGAATTAAATTAAAATCTCAGAAAACAAAATTTTACGGTGATTACTAATTGAGGTGGTGGAGATTAACAATTGATGAGCGCGCTTGCCGCAAAACACATTTGGGTGGCATTGATTACTCGTTGAGGAACTCTGGACTCCCCCCTCGTCTGATAAAAGTTTCAAGGTTTAGACCTGTATAAACAACAGCATCCTCCACATTATTGGTCTGATAAAGGTTTCAAGATTTAGACTTATATAAAAGAACATTATTGGTCTGATAAAGGTTTCAAGGTTTAGACCTGTATAAAAGAACATTATTGGTCTGATAAAGGTTTCAAGGTTTAGACCTATATAAAGATAAAGGTTTCAAGGTTTAGACCTATATAAAAGAACATTATTGGTCTGATAAAGGTTTTTAGGTTTAGACCTATTTAAACAACAGCAACCTCCACATTATTGGTCTGATAAAGGTTTCAAGGTTTAGACCTATGTAAAAGAACATTATTGATCTGATATAGGTTTCTAGGTTTAGACCTATATAAAAGAAGATTATTGATCTGATAAAGGTTTCAAGGGTTATATCTTTGGTTTATAGTTGATTGATTTAATAATCGATTGATATTTAGATTGATTGATTGAGTGTTCAATTGATTGCATAATTACTTAAGGTGGGTGTTTGACCAGCCAAGGAAATGGAAATTCTGTTCTGCTGACACCCTGCAATTCATCCCTTGCAGAGCAGAGGTGACACCTGGGCAGGGGAATACTTAGAAATTTTTTAACATTACTAACCATAGATTTTACTGACCCAGGGGGGCTGATCCCTCCTAGCCCCCCCCTGAGTTCGCCTTCAGACAGTATATTTTTAGCTCAGAGCTGAAAACTTTAAAATGGTTGATATGAGATCAATGCCTGATCCCAAGCCTGATCCTATCTTTTTCTTAATCTCGAGACTAACCAAATCTTGCGTTTGTATCCTGAAAAGTGTATTAAAGTAAACCAATCAGAGTGGTGTATCAGAGGGCGGGAAATTGAAAATTGAAATACGGAGACGGGAGAGAAGAGCTTTCTAATTTTGAAAAACCGGTTTTTGATTTGCCTTTACTTTTGGTGTCATATCAATTTGACTAATGTTCCATTGAACCAATACAAGTTTGGACTAATTTTCATTTGGACTAATTTTTAAAATAAATGAATTTGAATTTTGTTCTAAAAAAAGAGGATTAAGAAGAAAATCAAAAGTGTGTACATTAGATACTCAGATTAAGAAATTGGGATTAAGGATATACCATTCTAAGTTTTCAGCTCTGAGTAAGTGAGTATGTTAAGAAGAATAAAACAATTTTTAAATCCTAATATTCAACAAAACAAAGATGGAATTTAAAGAATTTGAGCCGTGGTTTAAATCTGCCAAAACCCGGTTTAAATTAAGCGTTGGCTTAAATCTTGAAACATTTGATACAATTTTAAGTGGAACCAACCCTATTTAAGCTGCGGCTTAAATTTAAACCGCCGTTCAAATTCTTTAAATTCGGCCACTGGTTTGCTCTTCCATTCTTGGGTAAAAAATTTAAGAGGAGCAACGAGTCCGCAAATTCTTGCGAGCAACTCTGCATATGTTGAGATTGGAGAACAGGCTCCCTTGAGATTAGTTTTGGTGTCCTGCATCCAAAAATGTAAAAATTTATCTTAGGTTTTAAGGCAAAGGAACTGAGTTTTTACCACAAACTTTGATTTTCTAACCCCTATCTATTCAACCGTATTTTGTAGACCTTAGATATTTCAAAAGATCTAAGATAGAAGTATCAAAGGTTTACATCATTAGGTTGCAATGATATAGGGATTAGAAAATTTGATTTTTTGGCAAAGCTCATGGTTCCAAAAGGGAGGTTTCCCTTATTTCCCAGTTTTTACTCTGGATCAGATTTTTTAGCTGAAAAAAACAGGTTCGAATGTTGATGAAATTATAACAGAAAAAATTGAGTCTTTGCTACAAAATTAAATTGTATAACCTCTATATCTTTGCAACCTGATGTTGTTGATCTTTGATAATTCAAACTTTTAATTCAGTTAGATCCAAAATATCAAAGGTTTACACAATCAGGTTGCAAAAATATAAGAATTAAAAATTTGATTTCCTGGTAAACAATTTTCTTAAAATATTTATTTTTTATTTTCCCTGTCATACCAAAAGTGCTCCATGAAGGTTGGGGCGAGGAGGGAGAGGGGTATTTGCCCATCTTTTTGTATAATTCCATTTTTCCAGGTTTGAGTTTGGACTGGTGGATTATAATGACCAGCTGGACGAATATAAACTGTGGCCCCTGGATTTAGAAAATTACAAGAGTAGACAGAAGAAACTCAGGTTATTTTTATTGTAATTTCCCGAGTTGTAAAGCTAAATTGTTTTATTTACTGGGTTAACCACAAAGGATGAGACTTCAGGGACGACATTGTACGGACTGTCTACTGTGTAAACTCAAATTGTACGGAATATGTGTACTGTGTGAACTCAACGCAGATAACGTCACATTTACTCCTAAAAAATCAATTCAAAAATTCAATTGTGAACATTTATTTCAAAACAATATGTTAGGGATGATGAGCTAAAGGAGGCTAAGGAGGAAGTGATGAAAACCTTGACGGTTGAGTTTAAACGAGAAATCAAGGCACATTGAGCCAGTCTGAATTATAAAACGATGCGTTATCTTTTAAAACTTTGAAGTGTCACAGCACCTTGGCTTTTGATTTTACCGCCCTAATTCAGTTCTACCTTTACATGAGAACTTTATCAACATAAATAATTGGCGAAATTCTCATGTTTTTGAGTGCCAAAGCTTACAACCTTTGGATCTCTGTGAAGGAAAAGAGAAGAGCGGCTGTTTTTTATCTGGACAAAGGAACAGGGCCTTTAGGTCAGTACTTTTGGACAATCAACAATAAAATATTATTTACGATAATAAAGATCTAATAAAACTTGGTCTATTTGTCTTTTGAGTTTAAAATTTCTAAAAGCATTTGATAAAAAATCGAGCCAAATTTTTTTTCTTTTTTTCAGCATTTGTAAACTGGTGGCTTCTAGCGTGGAAGTTATTGGGTAAATAGTTAATTTTGCTTATTAAAGAAATTTAAACCGAAATTTTAGATATTAGAAATTGTTTGTGTAGTGTTTTTTTTTTACATTAGACAGGGTTTATTGTCCACTGCATCTGCAGGTTTACTAGTATGTTGTCAAAATTCAAGAAATTTTCATGAAAGGTTTGAATTTTCAAAGTTTGAACTCTAAGAGAGAAAGGTTTGATATTTTCTAGGTTTGAACTCTAAGAAAGAAAGGTTTGAATTTTCTAGGTTTGAACTCTAAGAAAGAAAGGTTTAATATTTTCTAGGTTTGAACTCTAAGAAAGGTGTAATATTTTCTAGGTTTAAACTCTAAGAAAGAAAGGTTTAATATTTTCTAGGTTTGAACTCTAAGAAAGGTGTAATATTTTCTAGGTTTGAACTCTAAGAAAGAAAGGTTTAATATTTTCTAGGTTTGAACTCTAAGAAAGGTGTAATATTTTTTAGGTTTGAACTCTAAGAAAGGTTTAATGGTTTGAACTCTAAGAAAGAAAGGTTTGATATTTTCTAGGTTTGAACTCTAAGAAAGAAAGGTTTGATATTTTCTAGGTTTGAACTCTGAGAAAGGTTTGATATATTCTAGGTTTGAACTCTAAGAAAGAAAGGTTTGAATTTTCTAGGTTTGAACTCTAAGAAAGAAAGGTTTGAATTTTCTAGGTTTGAACTCTAAGAAAGGTTTGATATCTTCTAGGTTTAAACTCCAAGAAAGAAAGGTTTGATATTTTCTAGGTTTGAACTCTAAGAAAGAAAGGTTTGATATTTTCTAGGTTTGAACTTTAAGAAAGAAAGGTTTGATATTTTTTAGGTTTGAACTCTAAGAAAGAAAGGTTTGATATTTTCTAGGTTTGAACTTTAAGAAAGGTTTGATATCTTCTAGGTTTGAACTCTAAGAAAGAAAGGTTTGATATTGTCCTGTTTACTCACCCTGACTCTATTCCTCATCTACCAAAAGAATGCAAAGAATACAGGTAAATCACATACAGGGTTATCCATTAAGAATGACACTTCAGAGACGACTGTATGGAATTATACTTGCTGTTTCCTTATATTTATGATTTCTGCAACTTTTTTCTTTCTTTGACAAATCATTGAATATACCATTTAAAGAAAATATTTTAAGCAGAAGGCTTAATTCAAACTTGGGATCGTCCCAATATTTTCATGTTTAGCGGGTAACCCTGCAGATTCAGCTTTAGCGGGTAACCCTGCAGATTCAGCTTTAGCGGGTAACCCTGCAGATTCATGTTTAGCGGGTAACCCTGCAGATTCAGCTTTAGCGGGTAACCCTGCAGATTCATGTTTATGCAGATTCATGTTTAGCGGGTAACCCTGCAGATTCAGCTTTAGCGGGTAACCCTGCAGATTCATGTTTAGCGGGTAACCCTGCAGATTCAGCTTGCTATGCAAATTTTTAAGGCAGGGTCGAATTCAAGTGTCGCGACACATTGGGCTTTGATTATACCGTTTTGGATCTGTTATGCTTTTTTTCAGCGCTGGGCATGCACTTTTTACACAATAGAGCACTTTTTCAGCTTTAGTTTTTAGGAGAAATAGGCGTAAATTTTGCGTGATAGCTTGCAAGTAGTAACCTTTAAATTTCAAATCCAAATCATCAGATTTGACCGACAAAGGAATTGAGTCTTTAAATTTTCTAACCTCTATATTTTTGCAACCTAATTGTATTGGCCTTTACCTTTTAAATTTGACTATTTGATCTAGCAGACTTAAGAATTTGTATTATGGAAGGTTTAAAGCTTGGAAGTATTACAAATTAAGACAGAAAATTCTTTNGTCACCCCCATGAGTGTCAGCAACAAATTTCAGGGCATTTGGTTCAGCTGTTTGGCCAGCTATAGGAAACATATATACGAACGTCTTGTTTTATTATATAGATAATAGTTTTCAATTATATATAATATAATATTATTTAAGTAAAATGTGAAGTGTAAAAACTTAAGAATATGTAGTTTTACTTCATTTTCGTTTCTTTTTATCAAAAAAAGAGGTTTTTTAAAGATATTAATCTAATGTAAAGTAGTTTTTTCTGAAATATTGTTATTTATTCTATTTTATATATTTGAAAGGGACAATGTGAAAGATTTGAAAGGAGTTGGAAAATGTCTGTTTGTACCCCTGTATGGAATATCTTACAGGAATATTCATCACAATTGGTTAGTCAAGCTATTAATACGTACATAGATTAATAACAATACAGATAGCACACTAGATGTCGTCTTTTTAAGATTTATGGGTTTTTCGTTCACAATAACCCTAAGGTAGTTCCGCGTAGGCAGCGTTGAATTTCAAGACAAAGAGAGAGCACGCGCGGAACTCCTTTGGGATTCTACCTCAGGGTTATTGTGAACAAAAAAACCTTAAATGATGTAAAGGCGACATCTTTGTTCCATCTTGTATTGTTATTAATCGATTAATAAATAAAAAAGCCAAAGTTAATAAAGCAATAAATTAAATAATTTGTTAATCAATAAATATGTCTTCGGGGCAAGGTTGTAATGTACATATTGAAACCAGTTCTCTCTGAGCGGAATTTGTAAACAAGAATAGATGCATCCGTGTTCGTTTAGTATCCGAGGAGATTTTGATAACTTTGATAATTCACATAATAGTTTCCTATGATCAGTAATCAGTATATTTCATTTATTTTTTATTTATGGATCACCTGTCTGGCTGTGACATCTGTCTTGTGTTTACATAACCGCCCAGAGACAGTACTCTGCAGTACAAAAGATGCGTACACCTCTGAAATAACTTTCCTTGCATTACAACCTTGTTCGGCTGAACTGAATGGTTTTTGATGATTTGGGGGGAAAATAGAAGTCAAGTTTTTTCATACTTTATGATACTTTTTGATACTTTTTGATACTTTTTCATACTTTATGATACGTTTTCATACTTTATGATACTTTTTCATACTTTATGATACTTTTTCATACTTTATGATACTTTTTCATACTTTATGATACTTTTTCATTCTTTATGATACTTTTTACCCAAAAATTCATTTATTTTTCCCTAAAATGAATTTAATTTCCCCAAATCAGAGAACAAAAGACCTTAAAATAGTTTTCTAGGAAGCAAAATAATTTTCAAAAGTACGGGGGGGGGGAGTTTATTTTTCAAGAAAACATCCACCACTGCACTGGTTGAATAGATAAATGAAAATAATGAATGATTATGGATTCAGAGATAATAACAGATATGATTCCTACGTGAATAGCCAATATTGTCTTGTAAGCCCACATTCTAGATTTCTTTCTCAATATTCACATATACTCAGGTTGGGACTTAGATAGACAATACATTTTATAGACATGACATTTCATAGACAATACATTTCGTAGATAGGACATTTTACATACAATACATCTCGTAAATATGACATTTCCTAGACAATACATTTCATAGACAATACATTTCATAGAAAATACATTTCATAGACATGACATTTCATAAACAATACATTTCGTAGTATAGGACATTTTACATATAATACATCTCGTAAATATGACATTTCCTAGACAATACATTTTATAGACAATACATTTTATAGACAATAAATTTCATAGACAATACATTTTATAGACATGACATTTCATAAACAATACATTTCATAGACAATACATTTCATTGACAATACATTTCATACACAATACATTTCATAGACAATACATTTCATAGTCAATACATTTCATAGACAATCCATTTCATTGACAATACATTTCATAGACAATAAATTGCATAGACAATTCATTTCGTTAACAATACATTTCGTAAAATATATTATTTACTTTTTCAAATACAATTTTATTTTTACGTCATGAAAACGTCTGATGATTCTCTTATTTATGAAATATCTTGTCTATCAATCTATCTATCGATCTATCTATTGATCTATCTATCGATCTATCTATCGATCTATCTATCGATCTATCTATCGATCTATCTATCGATTAACATTGGTTTCTTCCATCTTAAAATACTTCTCCTGAAGTATATTTAATTAAATATTCATATGTCAATAAACTATCTATTTGAAGAATTCAACAACTTTTTTATGAATTTACTTTGCTTCTTTTTTGATTAATTTCATATAACGTTTCCACCCCCAAAGTAGGAGTTTTGAACGTCGAATTTGTGCTCAAACTTAGGATTTACATATCTTTAAAAAGTTTAATATGTCTCAAATGAATCCGGAAGAAGTTTTCCACAACACTGCATACTCAGTTCAACTACCTTACATAGCCGGTCACTCCCTTTAAAATTGCCAAGAAGCCAAATTTTTTTAAGTTACAGGTCAAATTTTGCCCCCCCCCCATTCCCCCAATTCGCCCAGCCCTAGATTTATCTCTGTGTAAGCCCTTCCTATTTATCTGTCGTTCTCGATAAAGAACACAAAGAACGGAACGGGGCCGGTTGGAACGATTGGAATAAGAACAAACGAGGAACAAACTGTCTAGCGGAACGAACGGCTAGCACCGTTCTCCTCAAAGAACGGAACGGAACGAAACCTAAAAATAACGTGGAACTAACGATCTAGCTGAAGACCCTCGTTCTAGAACGAGCAACGAATGATTTGGAAACTTTCACTTTTGAAGAGCCAAAAAATATTTTTTGTAAATAAAACAAAATGATCCTGATAGGGCTGATATTGATACCTTCCCAACCCCTGGTATAGTCGGATCCTGGCCGGATAGAGTTCTAGTCAACAAATATCAAGCATACACCTTCAGAAACTCAAGTAAGAAGAAAATAGAAATAAGAGAAGATTAAATCGCATGTTTTATTCCTTTCATTGGACTTTGGGAGTAATTTGAAATGAACCGTTGTAAATCTGGAATGTCATCTTTGCTTTGAGGGACATTTTAAGGTACACATGCCCTTTAAGATTTATAAAACTTTTGATTAGGAGAAATCATACAATAATCAACAGTTTGGTATTTCATCATCAATATATCATAATATCTTTAATGGGGAAATAAGTCTTGATTCTTAATTTGGGTTCGGCTATGCCTAAAAAAAGCAATGTGCAGTTTATTTGAAGTTAAAGAGACTGATCATGCAACTTTAAAGAATTTGTTAACCATGCACAACGGTACCCTTATGCTCTTTATCTGATTATCAACGAGAAAAATGTTGTTGGTTATTTTGGCTTAAAAAATATAAATTCTGTTTGATTTTTTAGTTTGATAGTTGTTTTGATTTGTTGTTATATTGTTAGATTGATTGTAAGTTTGATAGTTATATTTTAATTGTTAGTTTTACTGACGATTTGATTGTTAATTTAGTATTTAGTTTGGTAATTAGTTTTACTGTTAGTTTGATTGATATTTTTACTGTAAGTTTTACTGTAAGTTTGATTTTTAGTTTAACTGTAAATTTGATTATTAGTTTGACTGTCAGTTTGATTGTTAGTTTGGTTGTTAGTTTGATTGTTAGTTTGATTGTTAGTTTGATTGTTAGTTTGATTGTTAGTTTGATTGTTAGTTTGATTGTCAGTTTGATTGTTAGTTTGATTGTCAGTTTGATTGTTAGTTGATTATTAGTTGATTGTTAGTTTGATTTTTATAGTTTAATTGTTCGTTTGACTGTCAGTATGATTGTTAATTTAATATTTAGTTTGGTTATTAGTTTTACTGTAGGTTTGATTGTTAGTTTTACTGTAAGTTTGATTGTCAGTTTGATTGTTAGTTGATTCTTAGTTTTACTGTAAGTTTGATTGCTAGTTTAGTTGTCAGTTTGATTGTTAATTTAATATTTAGTTTGATTATTAGATTTACTTTAAGTTTGATTGTCAGTTTGACTGTTAGTTTAATTCTTAGTTTGATTGTTAGTTTAACTGTTTATTTAATATTTAGTTTGGTTATTAGTTTTACTGTAAGTTTGATTGATATTTTTACTGTAAGTTTGATTGTTAGTTTAATTCTTATTTTGATTGTTAGTTGATTGTTAGTTTGATTGATATAGTTTGATTTTTAGCTAGATTGTTATTTTGATTTTCAGTTTGATTGTTAGTTTGATTGTCAGTTTGATTGTTAGCTTGATTGTTAGTTGATTGTTAGTTTGATTGTTATAGTTTGATTTTTAGCTAGATTGTTAGTTTAATTTTCAGTTTAAATGCTAGTTTGATTTTCAGTTTGAATGCTAGTTTGATTTTCAGTTTGATTGTTATATTGATTGTTAGTTTGATTGCTAGTTTGATTGTTAGTTTGATTTTCAGTTTGAATGCTAGTTTGATTGTTAGTTTGAATGTTAGTTTGATTGTTAGTTTGATTGTTTGTTTGAATGTTAGTTTGATTGTTAGTTTGATTGTTAGTTTGATTGATAGTTTGATTGCTAGTTTGATTGTCAGTTTGATTGTTAGTTTGATTGTTAGTTTGATTGTTAGTTTGATTGTTAGTTTTATTGTTAGTTTGATTGTTAGTTTGATTGCTAGTTTGATTTTCTTCAGGTGGGATATCAAAGACAACAGAGGCCTTGAAGGATGTTACATCATCATTGGGATTAAAACACAATGTAAAAAAACAAATTGCAAGATAAAAAATGCAAATTTTTGTCTTGAATTAGAAATGAAATTATTCTGTTAAGGGTTGGCATGATTTTGGTTCTAGTTGGTTTGGTCCATCTGAGAAAATATTAAGATTATCCTTGATAACGGTAGCTATCTCCCGATACCTGAGGTTAGAGACCAAACATTAACAATAGATGAAAGCTTTTCTTAAGGATAAATGCATGTTTTTTCATAAAGCGTCAATTTGAATTATATTTTAAATTTATCATAAAACCGTTAACATTTTTGAAATTTACGCATATCTAGATTTTTTAATTCCTGAATATGATTCTAGCTAAATACAGTGTGTCCCACGAAACTTGACAGTTGGTGAATAGTTTAAAATGTCTTCTTCCATAATTTCAAAAGTTGTTTGATACCAAAGAGAATAATTAAAAATATTGTATAGGAGTCATCTTTTAGTAAAATTGATTTCAAAGTCAAATAAATTTGAGTGAAAGATTTTTAACGAAATAAAGAAGACATTCATGAATATTCACCAACTGTCATGTTTCGTGGGACACGCTGTATATTCTAATGGATTGTGACAATCAATGTAACCTTTAGGAACCTTCTATTCGTTTAAGAATATTCTAAGTAATAATGAGGAAGATATCGAGGTTCCATTGATCAAAAAAAATACAAATAAAAAACTAGATGTCGTCTTTTCAAGAATTAGGAGTTTTTCGTTCCAAAAAAACCTTAGACAGAAGCCCAAAGGAGTTACTCACAAGCTTTCTCTTTGTCTTGTCATTCAACGTAGTATGCGCGTAACTCCTTTGGGCTTTTGCCTCAGGACTATTTTGAACAAAATACCCCTAAATCTTGAAAGGACGACATCTAGAGTTCTATCTTTATTGTGTTTTATGGTTGTTTCTCTCTCTTGATTAAAGATAAACTTTGTCGATTGTCTTTCTTGTTCTTGCTACTTTTATATACAGATGGGCCTCGTTTTTTGTAGAAAAAACGAACGATGAAGGAACAAAATGGAACATTTAGAAAACTGAAAAATGATTGTTTCATAAAAACGATCGAAAAAAAAACAACAAAAACGAACGATTTAAAATCATTTTGTTTTTTACTGAATTTTCGGACATTTTTTTAGAAAAACGAACGATTTTTTTCAAACACTCAATTTAAAAACATTAGTTTTGAACTAATGATTTTATCGAAAAACTTTTGAAAAAATATTAGTTTTTTTCTGAAGGAACCATTCTAATTTTCTGAAAAAATTTTTTACTGAATGACCGATTTTATTGAACTGTTGTTCAGTAACGAAACAAACGATACGAATGGAAAATGAACGATAATTTTGAGAACGAACGAAATCGATTCTTTTTAACAATTGAAAAAAAGAACGAAATGAGCCGATCATGAACGCGATGATCGAACGAAATAAAAAAGCTGAACGCGCCCATCTCTACCCGTCTATAGTCTCTTTATTGTCTTTCAGGGTTTATTTGTTTGGGCCTGGTACACACTGCCGCTGTCCCAGTTGTACAGCACTGCCACAAGATTGTCAATGGGGTTCAGGCAAAGATGATGTATACATATTGATAAACAGGCGGGTAGAAACCTTCTGCCTTACTTTTAATCCTTTTATATTTGTTTTTTGAAAAAAAATTCGATATAACTTCAAAGATTTCAAAACTGCTTTGCTTTTGTTTAATAATTTGCAATATCTTTACAGTCAATAAGTAAAAAAATGGTCGAAAAACATGTTTTTTTTCGTTTTTGCATCGTTTCTGGTACGAGAATTTTTTGGGCTTTTTTACATTTATCTTCTGTCATGTTCAAAACTTGACAGAGACAAGAAACGAGCAAAAAAAAACCTGATTTGCATTTGTACCTCTCCTTCAGAGCGAAAGAGGAGAGAAGGGAAATACGCTTTTTAATAGTACATAATTTTGATGTGCCTTCTGGAGGTTCGTTTTTAAGGTCGTTTTTTTATGTATATTTTCTTTCAGAAAAAAAATGTTTAACATAGTTTTAGAAAAACAAAAGTATTTTAAATTGTTCACTTTTTCTTACACTTTAACAAACTTTAACCCTGGCAGAAGTTATAAGCAAAATATTAAGTTAAAAATATTGCTATGTTTAACAAAATCAAACATTTTACAGTTTTAAAATCCTTAAAGTTTCGGATAATTTTTATCTAAAAATTATCCGATATGATTAGCAACAATGAGTACATTGTTTGCCGCCAAGACAAGAAGGTGAAACGTCCGGCCGGCTATCGATAAATTATCTTTGGGTTTAGGAACATATGCTGGTACTATACTCACATATTCACAGGTAAGAACAATAAATAATGTAATTTTTTTATTGTTTTTTTGCTGTAGAAATTCACTTGGTGCTCTCTGGCGATATTAATGATCAGATTCAACATCTTCGTTGTCTCTGTATAGTTTAATTGATGTTAAGTCTTTTTGCTTTAGTCTTTGATTTAGGAATCACTTTCAATAATGTTCTCAGTCCCTTCACAATCAAGGGATATTGATTTAAATACATTTATTTTTGATGAAGATTAAGTTTTAGGAGGCCTTTTATTCTTTATATTCATCTTATTTTTTGTGAACCATTTAAAAGCAGAAGGATCATTAAATTAAGCTTTACGGCGCTTTACTTCTTCTCTCAAGTAATCATTTATGTATGTTATAAATGTTGCTTTTATGTCGCCATTTCTTTTATCATCACTAAATTAAGATCTGCCTGGGGTCGTTAGAATCAATAAACCCAAATAAAAAATATTTTTAGGAAATTGCAATAAATCTAGTTTGGACTCAGGAAGATTATGACTCCTTGAAAGCAGGTTTTTTTAATTTACTTTCTGGTTTTTCTCTCTTTGTAAGGTTAAGATTTCAAACCTAAAAAGTCAAATACAAGGTTTAGACTGACCCTCCACTTTTAAACTGGTATATTTAATGCCCTTTTAACCTTTATCTGAGGAAATATGGTGGAGATATTCCTGATTTTCTATCTTAGAAGTGATCATTTACAATTACCTTTTTCTTTAAAAGCGTCTTGCAGATTTTTGCCAGGGGAGATAAAAAATAAACTGTGATTTCGATTGTAGTTCTTATTGCTAAAAGAACGGTTTTTAGGGTAATAAAATATATCATTTAATAAGATGAGATTTTAAAAAAGCAGCTTTTGCCTTTAACTATAGCCTATAGGCACATCAACGCCATATTTCTTTGATTATCAGGGTTAATTTAAGCAAAAACTGATTCTACTGAGTCACAGAAAGTTACCAACTGAGATTGTATCTCTAATATCAGAAAAAATTTCAGCAGAATTATAAAAAAAAACTTATTAAAAAGACGATTGTAACAAATTCAAGAAAACACGAAGACGATTACTACTGTGTAGCGAAGTTGACCGCGCAAGATTCACAATACATAATACTATATCCGCTCCAAATGTGTCTCCTCATGTTCCCCCCCCCCCCTTTACCGCCTCTACTTGTGGAGAACAGCNAATAATAATAATAATAATAATAATAATAATAATAATTATGTAGATGCTCGAGCTTCATGTTTTCCATACTGATGAGCCATTTAGCAAATTCAGGTGGGTCACTGCTTAGCAAGGTTGTATAAATAGGTTGATATTCTGGATGCGCTCCAATGTAGGTAGAGACGACCTTTACAGTAATGGACACGCTAAATCCTCATATGACATCACTGTTTATTTTATAGAATGATAATAATTTCGTGACTCACTAAATTTAAACAAATCAAAAAATTTCAAACTTGAATTAGAGGTTGCATTTTTAGCTTAAACTTGTTTGCACGAGTCAATATTTGTTAATGTGATGATTGTTAGTTAAATATCAGTGACGTCATGTGAGGATTTAGAGTTTCTCTTGCAATATAAACGATATTTTTCTACATTGGAGTGCATTCATAATATCTAACCTTTTATACAACCTTGCTGGGTAGTCAATAGTTATGAACGAAAATGGTTTAAAGTAATTGAGTCTTTGCCACAAACATAAGTTTTTGTATCCCTATATCCTTGCAACCTAATAATGTAAACGTTTGATATTTCAAACTTTGAATATTTAATCTAACAGGACTCATAGTTTGAAATATCTAATGTCCACGACATTGGGTTCCAGAGATATAGTGAATTGAAAATCAGATTTTGTGACAAAGACTCAATTCCTTCAGGTCATCTTATTCATGTATATTCATGACTATCAAATGATTGTGTTATAGCACTTCGATACTAACAATATGTTCCTCAGATAATTGCAAGGGAAGACTTGAAGATCGTCTTTAAACTTGAGCTTGTATTTGCAGCAATAATTTGTCAATCCAATTCTAAAAGGAACCTTTTTGAACTACAGAAATAAAGAGATTTTTATAAAAACCCAGACTGATTTTAGTTTTCGTAGCGTGGAAGTATGATAATTGATAAATCTAGTCTGATTTTAGTTTTCGTAGCGTGGAAGTATAAAGAGTATGATGAATCTAGTCTGATTTTAGTTTTCGTAGCGTGGAAGTATAAAGAGTATGATAAATCTAGACTGATTTAGTTTTGAAAGCGGGCAGTATAAAGAATATGATAAATCTAGACTGATTTTAGTTTTGAAAGCGGGCAGTATAAAGAATATGATAAATCTAGTCTGATTTTAGTTTTAAAAGCGGGAAGTATAAAGAGTATGATAAATCTAGTCTGATTTTAGTTTTGAAAGCGGGAAGTATAAAGTGTATTATAAATCTAGTCTGATTTTAGTTTTAAAAGCCGAAAGTATAAAGTGTATTATAAATCTAGTCTGATTTTAGTTTTGAAAGCGGGCAGTATAAAGAGTATGATATGTCTGGTCTGATCTTGTCTCGAGTACGGGACTATGCAATGCATCTTGCGTTGAAATCTTCGGGACAAGGAGTTGGAGAGAAGGTAAATTGTAAAAAATTAAACAAAATTTAGTCTTTAAAAAATTGTATTACACTTTATTTTAATTGCCATTAATTGGGGTATTGTATTATAAACAATAAAATGTTACTCTTCAGAGTTTTATTTCACCAAAATTATCCAACCTAAACTAAAGATCTTGAAATATTTTAAATCGAAGATTTGCAGAGCAAAGAGTTGCTTTGGGAAGACCATAACCAACGAAAAATGTTATTTTGTAAGTCTTAATCTTTTGATAATAAAGTAAGATTAGGGCCAGTTGGACCACACGTTCCGTATGAGCTATTTTATTGCTGCATTAAAATTAAATTGAAGGTGCACAATAAATCAATTACAAAAGTACATTTTACTATTAATTTTTTTTCTAGAAATCTTTAATATTTTTTTGTAATTTTTTTAGTGTTTGTTTACAAAGATGCAGATATTTTTAACAGTCAGTATATTTTATATAAGATCGTCTTTGATCCCTGAAATAATTTGCAGCATTTATTTGTTATTTCTTGATAAAACAATCACAACAGAAGCCTAATTCTGGCATTTTCTAGCTGAGCTCTGTCCTTTTTATGCATTCAGAACATAAATAAGATGAAAAGCTAATGATTGAAACAAAAAATTTATAATTCTAAGAGAAATCATTCTTATATATCTCTGTCAATTTGAAATCCTTTTCCTTTTCTTTTCCTATGAACCGCAAATTGTAAACCAAACTTTAGACCAAAATAAAATTAATGTGATTTGAGGTAATCATTTCTATCTGATATTGTTTCAGATTGTTTCTGAGAAATATTCTATTGGAAAGGATGGATCTTTGGCAGATGTTTGTATTAAGGACGGAGACAAAACCAAAGTAGAGAAGGAAGATGAATAGATAATTAGGATTCGTCAAAAAATTGGGGGGGGGGGAGTTTTACTCATGGGGAATATTAATTTGGCTTACCGTCCTGTGTTGCCTCACAAAGTCTTTAATTGTACGGTACAGCTTGCTCTGTCTGGTTAGAAGTCGGCCCGGTAGTTAAACTAAACCGGAATAGGAAAGCTTCTTCAGTTATTTAACTACAGTGATAACCAGAAAATAATGGAATAGGAAGACGAGATTATAGCCATACTTCAGTGCATTTGAGGTTGTTACAAAGCAAATAGCTGTACTACACAGTACACACTTATTAAATTACTGAATAAGTGAAGTGGGTCTGTTTACACTTCACAATTGTTGTGTCTCATGTTCAGTGCACTATTTAGAGTCATAATTTGAACCTAAAAGTCTTCTTCCTTATCATTTGCCCCCCTCCCTCTCCTTAATCAGGCTAGAGTGGGGCTTTGCTCCCACTGCCCCCCCTTTCTTAGTTGCGCGCCTGCCTTATATGATACATCTGCACATTGTTATTGTTGTTTATATTTAGATTATGTATTTTTATGTGATTTTGTGAGCTTATATTTGTTGAACAAATAAGAAATTGGAATTTGCTGCTTTTTATTCAATTGTATCCAATTTATAAAATTTAAGAAATCCTAAATAATCGGCACAGAAAGGTTTTTACCTACTCTTGAAATAATACAAAATAAATATTTTTTGGTTGAAAATAGTTGAGATTTAGGCCACATAGGCGGTTTCAGGATTTAAGACAGGGGGGGGGGGGGTAAGGGGCACCCACCCCCTTATATTGATTTAACCCCCTCCCTGTATGTAATGTAATCAAACAAATTAAAAGCTAAAAAGTTCCATTTACCCTCCTAACCCTACTAAAATTACAGTTTCTTTTACCTTTTATTGCCGGGTAGGAAAAATGCCTTTATAATCCATTTATTTATCTAAAAAAATATTATAGATTGCTGAACTTATAATGGTAAACTGTATATTTACATACATACATTTTACATAAACTCTTTTTCTGCGAGAGTGCTAAACCCATGTAACAGTTTGCCGAACTACATAAAGGAGTCTAAATCTTTAAACATATTCAATTATTACAGTTATGATGAGCATGTAAAAAATGTCGAGAATACATTGTAAAAAAAAATCCAGTGCAGAATCGCTTTTTAATTAACAAAAATGGTATCTAAGCAAAACCAAAACAATATAGCAATTTAACATAACATATCAATCATGTTAGTCTAAGGAAGGTAGAATTATTTTTATTTTTCTTTCTCTTTTGTAAGTAATTCTTTTTTAAATCGTGCTAATTTTTCTTACCTGACTGCAAGTAGTTTCTATGTTAATTTTAGAGTTAAAAATAAAAGTATACCATAAGAAGGCTGAAAGTAAATAAAGAAATCCTGCCTTCTCTTAGTCTACGATAAACTAGTTTTCTTGGGCCACTAGAAATGAATGAATTAAAAACACTAATGTTTGAAATTGAGGCAAGCCTGTTGGGATGCATTGCCATCTGTCCCAGGTTGACCAACCTGTCAGGGGTCATAGATGACCTGTTCCAGGTCAAAAGCCTTCGGAGTAGGCTGAAACTCCTCTCCCCCTCGCAGCTTGTAACAGGATATGTTAACATAATCTGTATTAGACGGCTGATTTCCGGAAATATTTCCTGGGTTATTCCCAGGAGTTCTTTGATGCCATCTGTTAATATCAAAACATTCAAAAATCTAAAAAAACATCAGTTTTTCATTTTTTGTCTTGGAATTTTATGTTAAATTTTAATTTAACCAGGCTTAGAAAAATAGTGTCATATTGACTTTTGAGACTGTGTGTTGATACTGTTTCGTTTCATGTTTTCTGAAAATGCAAAGATAAAAATTTGGTCTGAGGACGTCAGTAAATTACAAGTAAAACATATAAATTATCCATATAGCGTTTTAATTTCAATTGTCAAATAGTAATTTATAGATGCAGGTTTCGAATCTTTCTTATCATTCTCATACTTCTCATCCTTCTCATCTTTCTCATATCCTTCTCATCTTTCTCATATCCTTCTCATCCTTCTCATCTTTCTGATATCCTTCTCATCCTTTCTTATCCTTCTCATCTTTCGCATCCTTCTCATCTTTCTCATATCCTTCTTATCCTTCTCATCTTTCTCATATCCTTCTCGTCCTATCCTTCTCATTCTTTCTTATCCTTCTCATACTTCTCATCCTTCTCATCCTTTCTTATCCTTCACGTCCTTCTCATCTTTCTTATCCTTCTCATCCTTCTCGTCCTATCCTTCTCATCCTTCTCATCCTTTTCATACTTCTCATTCTTCTCATTCTTCTCATTTTTCTCATCCTTCTCATTTTTCTCATCCTTCTCATCTTTCTCATATCCCTCTTATCCTTCTCATCCTTCTCATCTTTCTCATATCCTTCTTATCCTTCTCATTCTTCTTATCCTTCTCGTCCTATCCTTCTCATCCTTCTCATTCTTCTCATACTTCTCATATTTCTCATCCTTCTCATTCTTTTTTATCCTTCTCATCCTTCTCATACCTTCTTATCCTTCTTGTCCTTCTCATCCTTTCGAATCCTTCTTGTCCTTCTCATATTTTCTTATCCTTCTCAACCTTCTCATCCTTTTGTATCCTTCTCGTCCTTTCTTATCATTCTGATCCTTCTCATTCTTCTCATACTTCTCATCTTTCTCATCCTTCTCATCCTTTCTTATCCTTCTTGGCTTTCTCATCCTTTCTTATCCTTCTCATCTTTTCTTATCCTTCTCAACCTTCTTATCCTTTCGTATCCTTCTCATCTTTTCTTATCCTTCTCATCCTTCTCGTCCTTCTCTACCTTCCCATCCTTATAATCTTTTCGTATCCTTCTCTTCCTTCTCATCCTTATCGTCTTTTTCTTACATATAAATTAATCTATTATCTCATTATCTCAATCCCAAAATTTACCTTTTTTAAGACAGAAGAATAAAACCAACAGTTAATGAAATAAATCAGTTCAGGTTAAAAAGGAATTATAAAGATATAAATTCCAAGGAAAATGGGGACAGTTATATTTTCATAAATCCATTTAATATATTTTTATGAAAACAGTTTTTAGAAGAAAAGCTTAGTTAAAATGAAAACAGTAGCATAGTGGCATACATACATTTATTAACGACCTGGGATAACCTTGCGGAAAAAAATATTATTTTTCAAGGAAGTAACCTGCAAGGCCAGGGAAGTTTAAGCTGAGAGCCTAGCATTATTAAATACAATATTCAAATAGGCTATAGAGGTCAATTACAGATCTAATTATTCTGATTTTCATATTTTTCAAGCTCGTCTTACTTTTTAACCCTGATACACTTTTTATATGTTGTTCGTGTTTTTGTCCATATGTTTAACACAATCTCAATTAATCCTAATAATCTCATTCTTCTTTAAACACAATTTACACAAAAGTTACGGCATGATTGGCACACTAGCAAACATAGAAATTATACATAACCCTCCAGTGCTTAATTATTTAATGTCTTGACTTTTGATCGGTAAAATCTTTAATCATAATTTTATAAATTGAATTAGTACCAGTTTCAATTACAGTAGAAATTAATCAGTGATAAATGAACCAGTTAATACCAGATTTGAACTAATTATTTTGTAAATTTACTTTGTTTCTTTTGAACTAAATACAAGTTAGTTACCAACTTACCAAGCCACCTGATCAACAGATTAACCTCCAATCCTTGCATCTCAGAGTCTCCAAGCCTCTGCCATTCTGTCACCTCGTCCCTCATTCTGATTTAATATTTGGCTTTTGCATCCACCAAAAAAAATTTTTTTTCTAAAGGAGATAGTGGAGATATCCTATTTGATGAGGGGAGGGGGGGTGGTCTCGGTCTTCATTTTTGGTTCAAATCTTCCAATTTTTTGGGGTGCACGCCAAATTTTTAATCTATTTCCAAAAATTAAATAAAAATACAAAATTAATTACCTATAATGACCTATAATGACTTAAAATGACCTCGACAACAAGAAAATGTTTAAACTATGGCTTTATTTATATCAAACTAAACCCCCCCCCTCATTAAATAGTACATCTCCACCATCCCATTTCACAACATCCCAAACCCCTATCCCTGCTGGGGTACTTAAAAACCAGGAAATGCGGGGTAGGGGGGGTCAATTTGACCCCCCCTCTAAATCCCATGTTTGATGTCTAAATATGACAAATGATACATCATTGGAAAGCTCTTGTGCTCTACTTTTAGAATCTGCAAAAAAAATTGCAAATTTGCAAAAATTGAATTTTTTATCGCAAAATCCAGTTATATAGTAAAAATGTTTGCAAAAAAATTTGTCCAAAAAATGAGAAATTAAACATTTTTGAAAAGCCCTTGACCATGCAATTTCAAGTATGCAAAAATTTTGCAAAATTTTAAATAACCTGATTTTTAATCAAGAAAAACTAAAAATGTGCAAATTTTCTTTGACAGGTTGTTTGCAAAAAATTTGCAATTTTTTT